AAAAAGGGGGTTCCATTATTTGAATTTTTATTTCCCCCCCCCTCCAAAAAAATGGGGGGGAAAAATGGACCCCCCCATTTTTTAATTTTTTCCTTTTTTTCCAATGGGGGGGGGGGTGGGGTCCTGGTCGCGCCGTCGGAATCCCGACCCCGATCGGCAGGACCCCCCTCCTCTTGGCCGCAGCGTGCCAGTTTCGACCGCGCCCGCAGCGGTCATGACTGCGGCCTCGCGGCCCCGACCGCGGGCTGAGGTCATGCCCGTGGTGACCGCGGCCGCTGGGGATACATAGGTGCTGATCGCCCCGTGGACGGGGGGCTGTTTAGGGATTAGTTTGCAGGTGGTCAATCCCTCCCTTGCACAGGGAAGTAATCAATGCCCCTGCTCTCTTCGGACAATGTTTATTCTGACAGTTTCACACATTATTGCATAATGGATGCTGGACTCGACGTCCAGATCACACATATCACATCATTGATAGAGGTCCGTGTGTTTGGCTTGATTGATATAAATCACACACATCACATCATTGTTAGGGTTTCGTGTTTAGATTTTGATTGATACAGAACACATACATCACATCTTTGTTAGCGTTTCATGGCAGGTCCATTAGTGCGATAAATAGTGAATGACGAACATATACAGACAAATATAGGATGCGCAGTAGGAACATACACTCATCACTGTATAGGGACGCTGGACCCATTTTCCAGCTTATACACATCACATCATTGTACAAGGACGCTGGACCCGATTTCCAGCAGGTGCAGCTCCCCACCAATAGATGGAGCCTTCAACGCTGGGCCTACGTATCGGGGATGCTCTTATCACCTCGGTAAGTAGGTTTTTCCCACTCGGAAGTTTTTCCCAAAAAAAAAAAAGGATAGCGGCACACATTACAAACATACACATAGCCTACAGGCACATATCGACAATACCAAACACACACACATACATAACCATAGGGTTGGGAGGAGGTACGACCACCTAATAATAGGCGTCTCAATGATAAGAGAGGGCGTGAGTTGGTACCGTAGTCGGTCTACTTTTGGGCTAATAGGTGATTGCTTGAGCCTGGTGTCCAAAGTTCCCGTACGACAAGGCTGGTTCGACTACGCTTCCACCAGGGCTGGGTCACTAGCCTTGGTGCCTTTCACTACTGTTCGCAGTGTTTGGTCCAAGTTCCCCTCGATGGTAGCGTAATGGTCCTGAGTGCTGGTCACGCTGAGGTAGGATAGTAGGAATAGGGGGTGCGCTAAGAGTATTGACACGAGGATGGGATGGGAGGTAACCTCGTCTCTTCAGGGCAACCATGGATGACAGCTTCCGGCGATCAACGTGAGCCTAGTAACTGGCCTCTACAACACCTTGGACTTTATCTACAACACCCTGGACTTTTTTATACGAAGAAGAAGAAGAAGAAAAAAAAAAAAAAAAAAAATTATTTTCCTTTTTAAAGGGGGCTGGGGCCCGGTTCCCCCCCGGGTTGCCCCCCCCCAAAAAAATTGGAGCAATTAAAAAAAAAAAAAAAAAAAAAAAAAAAAAGGTTGTGTAATTGGCAGCCTTGCGAGCTGCTCCCTGGGCACCCAAAGATAGGCAGCGCGTGCTGAGATGGCAGAAACAGACCACCACCCGATCCTGCCAGCTCATCCCCCAAAAGTTAAACCACTATCCATTCCCAGGGACTTTGCCCTCCATCCCCTTTTGGTCCAACCTAACCTACACCCAATCTCGCTCTCCCCCAAGGCACCCAGGTTTCAGCATAGAACAGTTGGCAAAGGATGGCGGCATCAACATGAAGCAGAGAGGCGCAGAGAGCATCTCCAGCGCAGGAAAACGCACATGCAATGAATTGTCTGCGAGCGTGCCCATGGTCGGCCGTATAGTTCATCGGACGAGCAACTTCCCTGATCGGGGTGTAAGAGCACATCCGCAGGGAAGAAATTTGATGAGCCGTAATAAGTGGAATTTGTCCCATATTCTTCGTCACAACCTTCTGGGAGATTGCAGGGTCCAATCGATGCTTGCCATCCCAATCCTGCCTCTGGCTGCTGCGGGGAGCTTTTTTTTTTGTCTGCCTCATCATGAGGGTCTAAAACCCCAGCGACCGTTCCGCCAAGCGCCTGACCCATCACCACCCCAACCGTGTCAGTCGCCTGCAGGTTCTGCACATGAAGGCGGTCCTGTGTCTGACCGCCACGTGGGGTGTTGTCCAGCATTCCTTCAGCCTCCCGGCGGTCCTGATCCAGTATCGTGTCGTTGATCAGGTAGCTAAACCGCAGTGCGGCCCCTGGATTGTGACATGGCAGCTTTCATCCAGCGGTGAGTTGTCGATGGTGATTGCTGCCAGTTGTTGTGCTATGACTTTTTGCAGCTTCTTCAATTGCATAAGGCACTCTCGTATATCATTTGTAACTTGTTCCTCATCAAGAGTGCCCAGTAAAGAGGAAGCAGTCTCTAGCAGCTCGCCCCCCATCCAACGAAGGTATCTTCTGCCTCTTGTAGCATCACCAGTGGCAGGCTGCCCTCTGCTTGCAGTATCATCGCAACTGTTTCTTGTATCTGTTGCTTGTACATGCCTATAATTTCTGTCGCGGATGCCGTGTCCCACCATGATGAAGACGAGGTGAGCTCCTGCACAGTGGGGTGCCGCAGGCAGGAGGGGTGCCCTGCCCACCCTCATCATTGGTGCCCATTATCGCCGGCCGGCGGCTCTTGAAGGCGACACACTGATGACACCCAGCTGTCGATGCTGTAGGCTCCGTAGTCAACTTCCCGATATCGCTCCTCGTTGGTGTAGTGCTGAGGTCGCCGATGTCACCTGTTTGTACGTTGGCGTCAGTGTGCCGATCTTTCCTACACGTGGATTCCCCACTCCGGCCGTGTTGAGGGACTGGGGGATGTCGACACTCGAACTTGAAGGAGACTGTCGCAGATATGAAAGTGGACGGTCTCGCTCGTTTTCGAAGATGGAAAGGGAAACGCTACCTTTTTCTGCACCCGCGATTGGCCGTGAATATCTTCGCATATCTCTTCATGCACAAATTTCTTCAATTACACCATGGAAAAAGAAAAAAATGAATAGGTAATTTGAGACCACCTCTCAAATTCCTTCCCCTCCTGCGGCCCCATGGGCTGCTGACATTTGGGACACAAAAAAGTTCAATTGGGTAGCCGGCCAACCAATGTGACCCCAAAAGTGGAGCAAAATTTGAGAATTTGGGATTTCAGGTCCCCATGTGAGTATGCCCTTTCCTCCCTCTGAACTACCTTCTTCCCCCGAATACAACGCAGTCATTATGGTTGTATTTAGACTGACAGATGCCCCAAATACAGCTATAATGATTGTGCGTTGTATTGGGGGAAGAAGGTAGCCCTTGTAGACATGCAATGGTATGAAAACAGCATGTGAGGGACGGCGTTGCTAGGTTGGGAACTGAAGAGGCATCTCTATTTCTTTTGCTTATTTGTATACAAACTTGGTTGTATCATGGGACACTGGACCCCGTTTCCAGCAGGTGATGCTCCCCACCACAAGCGAGAATAGCTAGGGGCATATGATCGTATCATTGTCCTTTTTTTTTTTTTTTTTTTTTTTTTGAGACAGCTTCCACAGCGGTGCCATTAGGGTATCGCAAGTCAAACGTTCCTTAATTATTTCTCGCCA